GTCTTTCCTGGGCTACTGAAAAAAGACTATACCAAACTGAGAAGGATGTTGCAGGTAGTTAGTAGGACTAGTGGTGTAAAACTCAGTCAACTCGTCACCACATTAGTAGAAAGGCATCTGAATACATGCGAAACATGGTCTAAAACCATACTCCCCGACCCCCAACACCCCTTCTATTCCCAACTCTCATCAGGTAGAATCGGAAATCAGTACAAAATAATATATGCTCGTACAACCAAGTATAGGAACTCAGCGATACCATATTTGGCCAGCCCGTGTTCTACGTGACAGAGACATTTTTAAGCACGGAACCTATGACTTGCTTTGTTGTTAATAACATAATTTCGGCCCTTGTTATTTCCCCCTTATTCTCTCTTATTCTACAGTGAACACCTTCTTAAACATACTTAACTGCCTAAGTTATTAACATTGGCTTACTTTTTTTGTACCTTACTCTGTTCCTTCTTTTTTGTATCTACTGGTTCCGACTATATTAGCACTATGAGTATTACAAAATTGTCCTGCAATTAACCTTCATGTAATATTAGTTTTGTGGTTGTTTTGTGTTCGGCAATATTAAAACTGACAATCTTGTTTGTGAACGCCATTATTACCATCTTAAAATTTTTGTATTATGCAGGATTACTCACACTACCACTACAAACACCGCGTTAGAGTTGACAATAAAAAAAAACACCCTGAAATGTTTATTTTATGATTGTTTAGTGTTATTCAATCAAATTAACTGATCATCATGGCGATAAACATTCTTAAATATCATTTCATAACTTCTTGTATGATATAGCTCTTACTGTTCACCACGCTTAAACATATCATACCTTCCACTACCCAATACTGAGATATTATCTATTATGTTGTTTATTTTCCATTCTACTTCTTGGTATTTTTTTCGCATTTTTTGCTATTTTGTGTTTTTTTGTTGTTCTTGTTGTTGTTTTTCATATTTATTTTTTGAAATACTCCTTTTAAATGTTTGATAAAATTAGATGCAGTATTGTAGATAAGTGCTGAAAATTCCACACTGTACCACTAGTACTGTTTCTGGAATAAAGCAAATTATTATTATTATTATTGTTCACAGACGTGACGTGCCACTGAAAGCATTTCCAACAGGCTACTGCAGATATTCATCAACAGATAGCTGACTCAATATTGAGTATGATATAACATGAAGGGGTTAGCAAAAAAATGACCTGGCAACGAACCAGGCAAGAACTTACTGCTAAATACTTAGGTAGAAGAAAATGTAGATTAACTAAACACACGGTGAGAAGTCTGTTGAGTAATATCACACGCCAAGCACTTGTGTGGAACTCCGAATACAGTGCGACGACTTAGGTGTAGAGCATAACGGTAACATGGAGAAGGTAGTGTGAACAGGAGGTGAAAGCCTATGAACGAGGTAAGAAGCACTATGGAGAATAACGTGTGCTGGAGATGTGCTGCGGAAGCTCTGTGTTCAACACGGAACCCAAGGGAATAATAATAAAATTGCACAAAGTAGCTTAACTACCTTTATGTATTCATCATTCATCGTTTGTATCCTTTTGTTTTGAAAACATCCTCTTCATAACAACTGTCTTCCTTTGTTCCTTTCACTTCCTTTCACCAGGTCATCTGTTATTCGTCAGTAGGATTTACTCCTTTTTACTATTTTAACTACTTAAAAAGTTAAAAGTAGTATACTTTTAGCATACACACATTTCCACTAAGCTGATTGATACAAAATTACAACAATATTAGTTAGTGAGTGTTAAATAATTGAAACAATAGTGAAATAATTAAGAATTCATCAGTTGATTTGATGAAGATAATAGTTTTCAAGAGTTGATTCGTAAGGATTAGGTTTGTTTTTCGAGTAGGATCACGTATTGATCATATCTGCTAGAGAACCACTGAAAACCAGGGAGCATTGGACAATTATTTCATCCTACTCTGTGACTCATCATCAGTACGCACCCACTGGTTTTCGAACCCAGGACCTCCCGGTTACAAGGGAATCTTTCAGACCATTCAGCCACTGGGTGCGTACTGCGAATGATTCCCAAACTAGGATGAAACAGCTGTCCGGTACTCCCTGGTTTTCAATGGTTCTCTAACTGATATCAATCCGTGGTCAAACTCAAAGAATTTAATAATTTCCATCTTGAACACTATCAAAAATGTTCCGTACATTGATTATCTGTTTTGGGTAAGAAAATACTTAAAAATTATACAGAAGCTAGTTTTGAAGTGATAGAAAGTGATAGCATCTCTGCTTTTAATGCTACGTAAATGCACAGTTCACTAAATACCCATAGGCAATCCCTTTAAATACTTTCAACTCTTTTAATTCTGTTGTTTTTATAAATTAAAGTGTTCTCCGAGCCACTATTTTTTATTATGAGGTTCTCGCTGACATACACGATTGTTATTTATTGTTCCCATGGGTTCCAAGTGGAACATAGGGCTTCAAAAGCACATCTCCACTTTGTCCTATTCTCTTCAATCCTCTTTAGCTGACCCTACGATCGCCCATAGTCTCCCATCTCCTCCTCTTACGATCTCTCCGTGTCACTCTCGGACGCCCCACCCAGCGTTCCCTGTTCAGGTTCCACTCGATGGCCTAATACGCGATGTCGTCATTCAGTGGTCATCTCAGCGTGCACCTGATTCATTCCCACTTCCTTTATCATATATGTTAACATACAAGCCGTACTTAATGTCATTTAAAGCTTTTCACAAGACAATACTCTCTATAGGATTATATCATGAGCTGACATCAGTTAGAGGACGATTGGAAAACCTACAGGGAGTACTGGACAGCCAGCTGTTTCGTCAGTCTAGTTTGGGGCTCCCGCCTACAGGGTTTGTACCCGGTACTTTCTACTTACAAGGTGAGCTCGTAGACTATTCAGTCACTGGGACTCGAACCAATGGCCAGTCCATGAATTCAAACTTCTGCCGATTCACAACATAGCGCGACCACTAGCTAATGTCGTCGCTGGCGAGTATTTGTCCTCACGCCCCTCACTTGCTGTACCCTACTAGTCACTACTTCCCACTAGAAACCCAGGGTCAGTCACTAGTGAGTATCTCATTGATCTTCAAGTATTGCTTTGTAGGGATCTGATCGATTAGTTACAGGATTTCATTACGAGCTGACATTAGTCAGGGAACAATTGGAATACTAATCGAATTCCTACAGACCACTACTTGAAGAACAATACTCTTTGGTAAACTTATTAAGTGTATAAAACCCCCGTTTTAGAATAAATTCATTTTTCACCATGAGAATAAACCATTTAAAACTTAAAGTTGTTTGTTGACTGGTAGGTAACAGTAGAATTGCAATAATTCTTACCTTTGCACCTCTCTTCCAATAAATCACGTCGACAGATTTCGAGCATTTTGGAAACGATTTATTTGGTTCATACATTCATTATTACACCTTACGTTTACGGTGATCAAAGTGATTTAGGTAAAAATCTCTCCATGTTGACCATCCAACATAGAAACAAGCATTTAGGAGGATCGCCAACCGACTAGTTCATAACATATAACAACATCAATGGCTTATTTTACTAATGAATACTTATAATAAACGACTTCTCTGACCGCCGTTCACTTTGTTTTTGGTATCTATTGGGATTAAGGGTAGATATTCTCACAACAACTAGTTAGTCCTTCTTTAGTGACTACTCATCATCTACAACCCCATGAGAGGTGGCACTAGCACCAAATTGCGAAATGACAGAAGACAGAATTCATAAGCCATCGGATAAATAACCAGACACTGAATGATAACGTAAACATCTTGAATATGTTTATGGGCGCTCACTTTCAAGATCTCCCAAACTGGAACAAAACAACTGCCCAACCCTCCTACTTTTCAACGATGCTATAATTAATGTCGGTTTTTGACCTGATCCACCTTGTGATCCTCTTATTGCTTTCAACTCTATTTTATTACCACTTTAAAATTGAAATATAACCCAACATTTAGTTCAAAATATTTCTTTTTCATTTTCTTTTCTAACTGCATATGGTTTTTATAAGTTAATTGGTGGATGATGAATCCAAGCTGTGGAATCCAAGACAACGCGCATTTTGTCTTGTTTGGGACTCGTCAGCCAACTGGATGTGCCTGCATTCCCCAGTGATTGAGGGATGGTGTTCCCACAGAGGCTCGAACCCAGTGCCCATAGTTTCAAACGCCAAAGCGTTATCCACTAGACCACTTGGGCCACGAGAGCCACCTCTTGTGAAACGAGTCTTATCGATTAAATAATTCAATTTAGATTTTCCCGTCGATTGATTGGACCGAAGTTCTCGGTCTCAGGTTGACGTGTTAGCTCCCTGGGCAGATGCTTCGACGATGTCTGGGCGTGTAATTAGAAGTTAATTGGAGGATGGTGACTAATAGTGGAATCCAGGATGTGTATTTCGTCTTATTTGCATGTGTTTTTCACAAATAAATCTAATGTCTGTTAGAATCCAGTTACTCAGAGTAGACTTTCCATGTACTAGGCTATGAGCTGCACAAATTGTGTAAGGGATAATAATCTTAGTTAGTTTTCTAAAATGAAACAGGTTAATAGGGACTTGGACTCGACACTCACTGTCTGACGGGGGGGGAAGATGAGACAAAAATCAGCATCTTTAAGAGAAAAAAATTTCATGTATACACTAAAAAATTAATTGAACTAGATCAAAAAATATGCATATATGTATATAGTTCTCACATTTTCCTGAGGAATAAAGCAAAACCTGCCATCTACTTTTCTTCCCTGAGTAGTAATCATTGTCTATTGTTCCATAAATAAACAAATAAATAAAATGTTCTGTCTATATAAGTATATAAAAATAGGCATTATATATATATATATAAGAAAGTAAGGCAGTGGATAATTGTTATTAGATCAAATAGAGTGAGATATGCAGACGCAGGGAATTTGTGTATAATTTCTAGTAAGCCAACCATTTTGCTGCTTTTTATATCATAAATCTTCTTGTTTCAATGTGGATGGCTCTTCCCGTTGTTGTTGTTGTGGTTGTTGTGGCTGTTGTTGTTGCTGCTGAGGGTGTTGTTTTTTATTATTATTATTAATATTCCTTTGACGTTTATATGGATTAGGCAAATTAGGATGTGAATTTGTAAAATGTCGACCTAAATCCCAACTCCATTTATAACTTGTTGTACAAACACAACAGACAAATGGGCGTGAATTAGCGTGTACCATAACATGTTTTTGTAATTCAGTCGGCCATTTGGCTGTATAATTACATTTAGGGCATGGATAACTTTTAATGTGTTGAATACCTGTGGTTGGTAGTGTTGTCATTGTGGTCAACATCAGTGTTGCCGTTGTGGTAGTAGTGCTTGTTGACTCTACATAGGGGGAATTGATACATTCACCGCTTATCACTACTGCCTCCCCTGATGATGATGATGATGGTGGTGGTTGTAATGATGATTTTGACTGTTGAATATTATCATCACTGGTGGATAGTGTTGATGATGATGATGTTGTTGATGTCGGACAGCCATCTTTTGATGCTTTTTCAGAGATTAAAAGATCAAGTTGAGCCTAAAATATACAAGTAAAAATTATTATATTAAACCGGACTTATATATATATGAATCAGTTATCAAATAAATGCTTTTGTAATTAACTCTACGCAACTTGGTGTCTGCTTAGTAGCACTTTTCGAGCTATTATATACTCTGAGTTGAATAGTTTAACGGCAAAGCTTTTAATGTCCTTCTGAGTAACTTCTCAATACAAGCAACTACTATTGTAGGCAAGCCTCAGAGAACAACACAACCAATTCACAGTTAACATCATGAATATTTCCTCTGTAGAGAATTTTCAAAGCTTATTTCATTTTGAAATTAGAGCTTAAACTGCTATGCAGAAAGACAATGAAAACTTCTCAGTTATGTGAGTAGTAGTACAGCTTAGAAAACCACACACACACACACCCATTACTTCAATATATTTCTAAGGTTAACTGGTACTATAAAAGGTATCCGCAGTTATACATTTTCATTTTGTGTGTTAGATTCTAATAATCTATAGACAGAGTAGCATCGTTTCGACTACAGGTGGACAAAACTGATGAGGATATCAAAGCAGGGATCGTGAAAGCAAGGCAACCTTTCACTACTCTCAAGTCTGTGTGGAGGTCAACAGCACTCAGCATGACAATGAAAATAAGATCCGGATTTTCAACTCCAATGTGAAGTCAGTCAGTGCTACTTACTAAACGGATCAAAGACTTAGCGCCGCGTCACGAAGGTCACTTTAAACAATCTACAAACCTTCATCAACAGCTGTCTTCCCTCAATACTTCGCTCAAGATCAGATGGCCGGTCAGAAAAGATCAGCAACAGGGAGTGATCTCTGGAAACGAGTCAACCCGGCAGAAACCAATCGTTCAACAAATATGCAGGAAGAAATGGAGGTGGATTGGCGATACTCTGAGAAAACAAACGATCATGTGGCATCACACACCAAGCCGAGTGCTTCCTTTATTCACTGCAGGATGATGAGACTTAGTATTTAACTTGGCGTGGACAAGAGCATTATTTCACACCAGTTCTTGTACAGGCCCTAAGTCGCCCTTCTTATACGTATACTACTAAATTTTGTTTACAAACTAAAATTCATGATTGCACATACTACTAATTAATATGTGTAGCCAGTAACCACCATGGTCAACCAGTAGGGCTCACTAGTCGTTAACGAAGTGATCTAAACAGTGAATGGCTGTTTCGTCAGTTAGAAGCCGAACTTATCAGTGCTGTATCCGGACTGACTGACCTCAGGGAGCCAAATCAGTTCAAATTACATGAATCCTGTCTAGCTAAATGAGTGAACGATTGATATCTAGCGTCAAATTTGTCATCTGAAAACTATATAATTTTAAATGATGAGAATAATCTATAGGTTACTCTGGTGAAATTTTCACCTCGAATTGTTTAATCTGTAAATGAAGGATTTAGTTTTATTGGCATTATTTGAAGTGATAAACAAAAAATATTCAGATCATAACATAATGAAGTAAAGAAAAAGATTGAAGTTAACAGTTGTATCCAAGATAGCAATATATGCATATATTTGTCTGTAGGAAGTGAGTGATTTTGTCTCAGGAGCATTGTCTAACGAAGTCCAGAAAACTTAACTCAAAGCATCAAGGATAAACACCGTCAAGTGTCTTAGTCAACAGACTTCCTAGATTTACTCATCTCTGATTTCTTCTGAGAATCTCCGCGTAAGGTGTTAAAAAAGCATATTCGCACTTTTCTAACCATAGAACAGTAGACCACCAATCCAACTTACCTATGAGTTTGATTGCTCCTGTGGAGACAGTTACATAGGCAGTACAATTAGGCATGTTTATCGTCGGATTCCCGAACACCATTCTGCATAGTTAGCCAAGCTAAAAACAAAATCCATCCATAGTTCTATTCTACCTTATCTCGTGGATACAGAACACAAGATCTACCGCATACCAACGAATCTTAACTCTACCTTAAGAGTTTGTCTACTACATATTGTCGAGGTTGGCTGTTGAGATCTACATGAAGAAGCCTAACTTACGTGTACAAAAGAAGAAGTTGGTTCCGACGCCTTTCTTACCTTGGTCATCAAGGTCTTAATGATCCTTAATTTGTTGTAGAAATTTCCTTAATTTTATTCGATATTCTATTTACTATTACATTTTTATGCTTATCATAACTTACGCATCTATCTTGAACTGTAATCCACTGATCCTAACAAGTTAATATCGTTAAAAAGCACCAGTATTACCAGTAATGATTATTCTAGAATATTCTGTGTATATAAATATATGTATTTAAAACAAGCAATAAAGGTTAATAAAGCAGGATGATTTAATGAATTCATCAAATTTCCGTAGAACTCGTCAACTGAATACTCTACATACACGGATGTATATATATATACTTATGAAATTACATTGGGAGATATAAGACTGATAAATAAATAAACTACATTGAATTAGTCATGCAGAAAGACACACATGTGTCTTTCTTACTTACAAATAATTCAGTAGTTAAAGTAGCAACAAAATAATTTGTTAACTTGCTCTAACTACCGTTATTTCCCAATAGCAAATACCATCAACAACTAAAAAGGCGACAATAAATACATCACTTACTTGAAATAATAATTTCGATGTCTTATTATTTGAGTATTGTGTTGAAGTTAATTCAGATGTTAATAAATGACCATGAACTAGGGAATAATGATGATTTAAATGGTTCATTCCTTCAAATATCATTCCACAATTTGCACATATCGTTGTACCACGCCAACCAACACGACGTCTTCTACCACTAGAGGACCTATGCATACGCTGTTTATTGATGTTATTGTTGTTGTTGTTGTTGTGTCCAGCATTCTGATTACCATTCAGATCACTGTTAACAACAATGTGATTATTGAATTTACGCTGAAGTTTTTTTTGTGCTTGTAGAACTTTATTACGTGAATATCCAAAACGATTAGAATGCCGGGAATATTTTCGCAATTTCATATTTTCTGCAGCTGTTTGCATTTCACCGGCTTGTTGTTCTCCTGATAGCCATAGAGATTTGTTTAAATTTTCGTGTTGATATTCTTTCTGTTTACGCCATACAGGTGTAGATGTTAAAAATACACCGCCTACTTCTGACTGTTGTTGGTGTTGTATTGTTGGCGATGGTGTACGTAGTGTTGAATGCATTGAATGGCCCTTATTATTATTATTATTATTATTGATATTGCTGTTGCTCATATTATCATACATATTATTAAAATTCATTAGAAGGAATGGATTCAAACAATCCGGGAGCAGTTTAAATTCTGATGATATCACGCTAGAATGATTCATATTTATTCCGTAATTTGGATTCATTGAATATCCTGTATTCAATCTGTTAGTAATATCAGTGAAATATAATGAATTATTATTGGTGTTCGTGTTATTAATGTTATTATTATTATGAGTATTACTGTCATTGGTTATAGCAGAAATGATATTATGAAATTGAATATTATTCGGACAAATAATATTACTATTATTATTATTATTCATACCATCAACTTTAATATTACATCCATTTTTGTATGCTGTTGCGTCATGCTGATCACGAATACACAGATTAATTGGTTCATTTTGCTCATTATTTTCCGTATATCTCTCTATAGTACTATTATTTTTAATAGTAGTATCATTAACAGTAGTTGAAATGGTAGCTGTATTATAATCATAGGTTAATGGATTTGAATTGAAACTGCATAATTGACTAGTATCATTTGATGATTCAGATAATGTTGTACATTTTGATAAACTATTCATTATAGTATAATAATTTTTCATACTATTTTGATAAATTAGATTCCATGTTTCTTCTAAATTCTATAAGGGAAAACAAGTTATAGATAAATTGTTGATTTTTCTGGAAAAAAATGAACAGTTATGCCTGAATATATTGGTTATCCTATTGGACAACCGTGGCCATGAAGTAGTTCGTGAACAACTTTAACACTATGGAGTATCCCACACCTTTGTCAACCTCATTCAACAGCTGTATGACAATACCACATATCAAGTCATCCACAACGGAAAACTCACTCAACGAGGTGTTTGAAGTAAAGACACAGGTAAGACAAGACTGTCTACTATTACCAATGATATTCCTAATTGTAGTGGACTGGATTACGCGAAACGCCGTAAATAGGGAGTGAGAAGACAGAAATACGCTGAACCGATGAGGACAGCATAAAAAGGCTGGACTTCGCAGACGACTTATGTCTAATGTCACAAAATCTCGAAGACTTGCAGATGTGCATAGGATGCTCGCCGACCATGCACATGGTCCGGGGTTCGATCTCCGGCCGCCAACGCACTCCTTTACTTCGCTGAGCCAAAAATAATCCTGGTAAAGAGGAAAGGTTGGGCATGAGGCTAGCAACCCCATCCTGTAAAAATAAACACACTGCTACAGAAACTTCAAGCTACTAGCTGGGGAACGTGAAGGAATAAAAAAAAGAGAAAACAGGTGATGAAAACAGTCAACCAACAACAACAACAACGACAAGGAGCACTTATCACTATCAACGGGAGACATATGAAAGAGGTTAGTTCCTTCATTTATCAAGGCAGACCTCCATCATTCTGAAATCAGTTTAGAAATCTTTCACACTCAGAATAAAAAACAAAATTCGTATTTTCAACACCAATGTTGAATTAGTTCTTCTATATAGGTCAGAAATTTGGCGCATCCCGTAAAGTATTTCTAACAAGCTTTAGACTCTTAACAACAGTTGTCGAGGTGGAACCCGGGTCGCATGGATAGAAAGTAGATTGTTTTAGCTAGTGAACCACATCTTCACTAAGAGCACTTAATCATGGAGGCTTCACCGAGACTCGAACTCGGGTCGTTGGATTCAAAGTCCAGAGTGCTAACCGCTACACCACGAGGCCTGTGTAAGGGGTATAAATAATTTTTGTAAATAAATATACCTGAATATGTGTGATATCTCATAATACTATGTATTCACTTAAGTCGAAACAAGCAGGGATAAATTAAAATTCGTAATCCACTGACTAAAAGTTAAATGCTCAAGTCACTGGCATGAACTAGTCTTCATACTAAATAAACTTATTGTTGTTATTATTGTGTGTGAGTCCATTTTATGCCTGTTTCCTCATTGCCCGTTGTCTGTCTGTCTGTCTGTCGAATTATCCAATCTACTGCAATCAAGAAGATCATTGGCGATAGTAGACAGCCAGTCAGCCTTGCCTCACTCCCGTCCTCACTTCGAAGGCTTCCGTAAGTTTCCCGTTGTGGATTACTTGGAATGCAGCATTGTCGTACAACTAAGTGTTGGATGAGATGTATAATTGTCGATAGCACCCCGTAGTAGCGAAGTAGTTGCCAGATGACCTCTCGATTGACGCTGTCGAAGGCCTTTCAAAGTCGATGAAGTTGAGTGAGGAGGAGAGGTGACTGCCATACCAAGCTTTGTTCAATGATGATCCGTAGAGTGGCGATTTGATCAATACATGATTTGTTTCTCCTGAATCCAGCTTGTTCCGGTCGAAGTTTTTCATCTAGGGTGGCGTGTTTGATTCTCTCCAGGATAATGAAGCTTAGTATTTTGCTTGGGATGGGCAGGAGCATAATTCCGCGCCAGTTTTTACATTGACTTAAATCTCCTTTCTTTGGTAGTTTGAATAAGTATCCTCTCTTCTAATCCTCGGGTACTTTGCCCTCTTTCCACACCTTCTCCAGTAATGGCGTCATCAAGTCCGCTGTTGTCTCTGGGTCTCTCTCTATATACTACTGATAAGTTGTATTAGTAGCACACGCCATAGTAGTAGTAGTAGTAGTAGTAGTAGTAGTAGTAGTAGTAGTAGTAGTAGTAGTAGTAGTAGTAGTAGTAGTAGTAGTAGTAGTAGTAGTAGTAGTAGTAGTAGTAGTAGTAGTAGTAGTAGTAGTAGTAGTAGTAGTAGTAGTAGTAGTAGTAGTAGTAGTAGTAGTAGTAGTAGTAGTAGTAGTAGTAGTAGTAGTAGTAGTAGTAGTAGTAGTAGTAGTAGTAGTAGTAGTAGTAGTAGTAGTAGTAGTAGTAGTAGTAGTAGTAGTAGTAGTAGTAGTAGTAGTAGTAGTAGTAGTAGTAGTAGTAGTAGTAGTAGTAGTAGTAGTAGTAGTAGTAGTAGTAGTAGTAGTAGTAGTAGTAGTAGTAGTAGTAGTAGTAGTAGTAGTAGTAGTAGTAGTAGTAGTAGTAGTAGTAGTAGTAGTAGTAGTAGTAGTAGTAGTAGTAGTAGTAGTAGTAGTAGTAGTAGTAGTAGTAGTAGTAGTAGTAGTAGTAGTAGTAGTAGTAGTAGTAGTAGTAGTAGTAGTAGTAGTAGTAGTAGTAGTAGTAGTAGTAGTAGTAGTAGTAGTAGTAGTAGTAGTAGTAGTAGTAGTAGTAGTAGTAGTAGTAGTAGTAGTAGTAGTAGTAGTAGTAGTAGTAGTAGTAGTAGTAGTAGTAGTAGTAGTAGTAGTAGTAGTAGTAGTAGTAGTAGTAGTAGTAGTAGTAGTAGTAGTAGTAGTAGTAGTAGTAGTAGTAGTAGTAGTAGTAGTAGTAGTAGTAGTAGTAGTAGTAGTAGTAGTAGTAGTAGTAGTAGTAGTAGTAGTAGTAGTAGTAGTAGTAGTAGTAGTAGTAGTAGTAGTAGTAGTAGTAGTAGTAGTAGTAGTAGTAGTAGTAGTAGTAGTAGTAGTAGTAGTAGTAGTAGTAGTAGTAGTAGTAGTAGTAGTAGTAGTAGTAGTAGTAGTAGTAGTAGTAGTAGTAGTAGTAGTAGTAGTAGTAGTAGTAGTAGTAGTAGTAGTAGTAGTAGTAGTAGTAGTAGTAGTAGTAGTAGTAGTAGTAGTAGTAGTAGTAGTAGTAGTAGTAGTAGTAGTAGTAGTAGTAGTAGTAGTAGTAGTAGTAGTAGTAGTAGTAGTAGTAGTAGTAGTAGTAGTAGTAGTAGTAGTAGTAGTAGTAGTAGTAGTAGTAGTAGTAGTAGTAGTAGTAGTAGTAGTAGTAGTAGTAGTAGTAGTAGTAGTAGTAGTAGTAGTAGTAGTAGTAGTAGTAGTAGTAGTAGTAGTAGTAGTAGTAGTAGTAGTAGTAGTAGTAGTAGTAGTAGTAGTAGTAGTAGTAGTAGTAGTAGTAGTAGTAGTAGTAGTAGTAGTAGTAGTAGTAGTAGTAGTAGTAGTAGTAGTAGTAGTAGTAGTAGTAGTAGTAGTAGTAGTAGTAGTAGTAGTAGTAGTAGTAGTAGTAGTAGTAGTAGTAGTAGTAGTAGTAGTAGTAGTAGTAGTAGTAGTAGTAGTAGTAGTAGTAGTAGTAGTAGTAGTAGTAGTAGTAGTAGTAGTAGTAGTAGTAGTAGTAGTAGTAGTAGTAGTAGTAGTAGTAGTAGTAGTAGTAGTAGTAGTAGTAGTAGTAGTAGTAGTAGTAGTAGTAGAAATAGATAAGTAGGCGGGTAGGTAAGCAGGTGGGCAGGTGCTTAGGGAATAGGGATGTACGTAGAAAAAATCTCGAATCTTAGATCTATCACACTGCGATAAATATATATATATATATATAAGCTTCTAGAATCCTTACACCTATCTATTAAAACAATGAAATGGATTCTTGCATTTACTTAAACAAGTAGCTATTGCTCTATTTACATTCTGTTGTAACCCAAAAATTCAGAAGGATATCCTCTGGCCTTTTTTCAATAAGGACAAACAAATAATAAATGAAAAATGGAAAATTAAAACTAACTTTAATTATTTTTTTTAATTGAATACGTGTGTGTGTGTATATATATACTACCACATCTCTATAGATATTCTAAAGTGATCTCTAGCCGTGTATCTGCCTAAGAGCAGTAGCAGTACTGACTTCACATACACTTCATCATATCTCCTGGTTATATTTGCATAATATACGATAATACAGAAGTTTATGATGTCAGTAAAACAAGATAAAATAAAATCTCTTCTTTCAATTTTCAATTTGCATATCATCAATTTTATATTATATATGCTCTCATGGATTTACGACGCTTGCCTTTCGTTTTGTTGTTGGCGTCTTCTGACTTTAGTCAAATGCACACAAGCGCACACACACACCCATAAGTGTATATGAGTGCTCCGGTGTTAGCAGTTTTGTGCAGATATATGTATACATATATAAATTATTTATGTAAATATACCTAGAATGTCATCAAAATACTCACTTTTAAGGAGACACACAGAGAGAGAGAGAGAGAGTAAAGTTACATTTCAGCCTGAAAGTATTTTATTTCTAAGAGTAAACTTTAGGTATTAGATTAGTTGAAACTTTCACTATTATCAGGTTTGTAGAGATTTAAAGAGTACTGCCTAGTTTATTCGTTTTAATTTGCGACTTATCAGCTCACCCACCTTCAGGTTAAAATTTACTCCGAATAGAACATATGGGCTTCAAGTTAATTAGTGGATGGTGACTAGTAGTAGAAATCCAAGATAATGCCCATTTCATCTTATCTGGGACTCCTCAGCTAACTGGATGTACCTGCATTTCTCAGTGAGTGAGTGAGTGATGATGTTCCCACCGAGGCTCGAACCCCGTGCCCGCAGTTTCAAATAGGACGAAACTCGCGTTATCCTGTATTCCACTGCTAGTCACCATCCACCAATTAACTTCTAACTACATGCCCAGACATCGTCGAAGCATCTACACAAGAAGCCGACAGACAAGTCAACCTGAGACCGAGCACTTCAATCCAATCAATCGATGGGAAAATCTAAAATTGAATTAAATAGGGGCTTCAGGTTTGAACTTTCAAGTTCGACTAGCGTTGATTTTGTTGTTGTTTTTTTCATAGGGATGAAGTTGCTAGCCTCCCATTGAACTTTTTTTCTTTCTGGGCTAAGTTAGATCTAAAGAGTGCATCCGTCAGCGGGGAATCGTACCCCGACCATATGCGTTACTGTTAAACAATCCACCATTGAACCACCGACTCATCTTCACGTTAAAATCATGTTTATTATTCATTAACGGAGTAGAAGTTGAATGACTACCAACCAGTAAACATTAAATCCCTACATACTTTAAATTTGACTACTAATCTCTGCCTTCAGAATGGATGTAGTGACATTGTAGACAGAGGTTTTAATCATTATAAGGCTTTGTTAAGAACAGAGAACCATTAAATACTAACAACCCATGGACAACAGTTACATCGTAAGTTGGAACTCTTCAGAAGCGTACATTCAAAAATTCTCATGAGATAAAAACACTTAAAGGATATTAAGTGAATAAATCGGCATTTCTCCATCCACTTATTCACTGACTAGGATCCCAGTGTTTTGCAGTTTCAAACTTCTATCAATTATGCAAGTATTGATCTGTAAGGGTTGTTTGTTTGATTGGTTACAGGATTTCATCATCAACTGACATCAGTTAGAGAATCATTGGAAAACCTGCAGGGAGTACTGGATAGCCAGCTATTCCATCAGCCTAGTTTGGGACTCTTCACAGTATGCATCCACCGTCAGGGTTCGTACCCGGGACCTTCTGGTTACAAGGTGAACTCGTAGACCATTAAGCCACTGGAACCCGATCCATTGGCCAGCCCATGAATTCCAACTGCTGCCAATTCACGATATGGTGCGACCACTTGCGAATGTCATTGCTGGCGAGTATTTATCTTCACACCCGACCTGCTGCACCTAGTGGCTTGATGGTCTACGAGCTCGCCTTGTAAACAGAAAGTCCCGGTTACGAACCCTGGCGGTGGATGCGTACTGTGAAGAATCCAAAACCAGGCTGATGAAACAGCTGGCTGTTCAGTACTCCCTGTAGGTTTTCCAATCGTTCTTTAACCGACGTCAGCTCATGATGACATTTTATCAATTAATGTTATACAGAAGTTTTAATTTATAAAAAACACTAAATTCTTTCAGCAACCACCTAACATAAATCTATTCAATTTTTATAGGTGACCATATCGTTAGAAATCATTCAACCATAAAAAAAAAATATTTTTTTCACATGTATGACACTATGAACCAAACTTGCAAAAACATTGGAATAGATATAAAAGAAGACCCGAACTTAGGTCCTAAATAACTAAAAGATTCCTGCTTAAGTCACTAGAACAAATTATTTGTGCTCATTTTTGAAGAATCTTAACCTTTTAGCCACAGGATTATCAAAATTGCTATTTAGTCCCTTGCCTATACACAGAAACATACAGACTTGCTCTAACATGAACTGTTTTCTGAACCTAAAAAGTGATCACTGCTCACATTTTCTAGGATAACTAATTGTTCACTTAGACATGGAAAAAAACACTAAAATAGCTGTGTGTATTTGTCTGTCTGTGCGTGTGAGTATGTATTCACAAAATTGTATAAATACAATGAAATAAAATGCAGTGACATTTAATAACTGTTACAACATGATTACGTAATCACTTATTTGTATTGTAATCAAAGGCCTAGTGACAGTGGAGAGAAGAAATCAATAATTTTGCTACTGATTACAACTCATGTTTAACAAAGAGTCATTTAGTCTTCAAATATACACTCAGATACGCGCCTAACTTAATTATGAAAGTGTTTTGGAGAAATTCACGTTGACACATCATGAATATGAAATATATACATATATATATATATATATAGCAAAAATATTCATTCAGATATCTATAAAACACAACAAAATCGAGCAAAGAATATTCTTTTCAATAAATTCCTCTTCTGGCTCTACAATTATATACATGTTTATATACACAGAATATTCAAGGTTGGTAGTTAATAACAATATTAGTGTTTTTTAAATAATATCGATTTGTAAAGCAAGATCAATGCAATTACAGTTCACTAAAAATACTTAAATTATAATAGTAATAACGATATAATAGCGAGTAGGATATCAACTAAAAATGTATTTTTCTACCTACTACTTTACCTTTCTTTCAAATGAGAACCGTATATATATACCAGGTGACTCATGTTCTGTAACTCTGTGTGTTTGTCTTCTGTGTATAGTGTAAGCGTATAACTTCGAATCTCTATCTTGCCATCCTCCTCTCAGATTGTGATGTATTCCGTGAATCAAGTAAATGTTCTTTACACATTCTCCGCTGTATAAAGTTTCACATATACCTCCACTACTCAATGTGTACATTTATGTGTTTTGTGCGTGTGTGTGTGTATCCACGTAATACTACTACTACTATCTCTGTCAGTGTTTAGCCTATAACTTTCAAGTTTTCTATAGAAACTGTGAAATGCATAATTCTTTTTTTTGTTTTTTACAAAGAATATTCCATGCAACATTCATCACCATGTCTCGAATCCTTTTTGTTTATCCTATCGTTTAATATATTGTCCTCTTTTTCTTTTTGTGAGTGCGCCGTTTGTACCTATCGAATTAGTTCCTTTAATATTCTGTTTTTCTCTTAACATTAATATTATTATTATTAATAATATTAGTAAGAAATATTCAGTTTATCATTAGGAATTATTTCCTGTATTTTTGAAAAAAAAGCTATTTTACACAATCATGCTGTATATCTGTGCGTGTGCGTGTCTGTGTCTGTATGTGTTCCTGTATGTGTGTAGAGAGACATGTGTTAAAATAATAATTTATTAGTTTGACGACTTGATGGTATACACACCTATCTATCTACTTACCTGCCTATCTACCCACCTACCTACTTATTTAAATCTGACTAACTGACTAGTCTTTTCTCAATCTTCCAATTTTCACAATGTTCCCTCTTCCATGTAGACATTTTTTCCATACCATGAGTACTCTGTGAAAAGTATTCGATAAAGATGATGAGATGACGACAACAACAACAACTACCCATATTGCTGATCCATTTACTAAATAAACCTCCTCTCCACTCCTAAAAAGTTATTATTATTAATACCACATATATACAAGGGACTGACTGTTACCTAAGTGATAAATTAACCTCATGACGACGTCACCACTTAATTATTCAGATGATCTTAAGGTGTCATTTATAGCTATAGTTATAATTTTATAGATTGTAATTATGTTGTAAGTTAAGTGTCAAACTAAATGACTAAACAACGTAATTTTGGAAGACAAATGAACGGAACAATATATGCTACCTTGGTATCTGTGATACAGCGGTATTATACTCTCCTCCGGCCACACCACATGCGGTTCGGGTTTCGATTTCCGGCTACCTACGCACTCTTTTACCTAGCTAAGTCAATAATAACGCTGGTAAAGAGGGAAGGTTGGGCTAAATGAGGCTAGCAATCCTATCCCGTAAAAACAAACACCACCGCTACTGAAATTTCAAAGCTATAGTTTGGAGCCCTATGGAGATAAATCAGAAATACCCTAAAAAGACCACTAAGTGTCATCGCATGCCAGTCCCTTGACTGCCACCCAAATGGGAAACGGTAAGTTGAGATCCCGAGAGTGATATGGAGGAGATTGTGTGAGAAAGAGATGAGAACCTGTAGGCAATTGTGGAACTAACTGAAGAGGATTGCAGAAAACTGAGTGAAATGGAGAGGTTCTGTTGAAACCCTGT